CCCTCTGCCCCTCAGCAGCCGAGGCGGCGGCGTAGCGTTAAAATTACTCTTATATTATTATTACTACTATTATTAATATTGTTATTATTATTATTAAACCGGAAGAGGATGCCCCGAGAGCCGGGCCGCCGCTCGGGGTTTTGGCAAACATCCATCCGGGCTGCCGGGAGGACGACCTCCCAGGGGTTTTGTGGGTTTATAGGGCAGTTTAGGGGTTTAGCAGTTTAGGGTTTAGGGTTCAAAAGTTATGCCCCCAGAGGTTGGGGAAAGTCTCATGGCCGACTGAACCCTAACGCACTGCGAGACACCACGGTGCCTGCCGGTAGTGCTCCGTCCGGCAGATGTGGGGCTTGTCGTACCTAGGCTTCCGATTCTCGTCCCTAATGCATTGGATCTATACATGGCAAAAGGAAGACCCATAGCAGCTGGAACGTCGAATAACAACGCCATGCCAAATCGCATCTGCAGCTTGGGGTCCAGACATCTTTGGTGTAAGGTCGCCACCAGAGCAGCTGCGGCACCAAGCAGACACCGGCAACATGTCGCGCCGGTGGCAGCTCTAAGCCGTACCTGGAGCTCAGCTGGCGAAGCGCCACGTGGTGCAAGCAACGCAGGATCAGACCTCTCTGAAGGTTTAAGTTAACTTTGTGCGCGGTTAGGGGTTAAGGGGTTGGAGAGTGTAGGGTGGTGCATTAAATGGCGTTGAGAAGAATACAGAATACTCCTCTCTTCTCCACCAAGCCTGAATCCTGATCCTCAAGTACCACCAGCAGGGGTCTAAGTTTCGGGGCCCAGCAGCAAAAAAACGTAGTTCTAGACGGCAATCGAACGGATGTGAAAACCTGAATTACTGCGCAACACACTCACACAATACTCACACATCTAATGGCACCTCAGCCGCATGCGCCGGGCCTTAGCGTGTCGACTTCGAAACTTTGGGGGTTCCAAGATGCAGGCTGCAGACATACTCACTATCGCATCTGAGTTCACCCGGTGACTATGACCAGCACAGGCCAGTTCGACAGCACTCAGAATCAGCATTGAGTGCCCGCCAGTCACTCCAAGGCCCCGGCGTACCCCAGAGTCGTCAAGGACTGCATGCCAATGTATTTGATGTCTGAGTCTGCGTCCATCGCTGCGACCTGAGTCAGGACTGGTGAACAAGCATTTCAAGCGCAGGTTGGCTGGGCATGGGAACCCGCTGTTGCTCGCAGTCACACGGAGGCTACAGTTGCATACGAGGGCTCCAGAACGAACGCTGCAGGTGCCATGACAACTCCATAGCTCGATGGGCGCTGGACCCTTGCATCACGGGTGCCGTACGGCTCGGGCAATCTCGACCTCCCGGACAAAGATCCAGTCATGTTGTACCTGCATACTACTTCGAGTCAGCAGTCTCTGGGAGCAAGTGCGATCTCCACAGATATATTGGCTAGTGACCTCACAGACTGACAACAAAAACACCAAACCAATCCCTGAGTAGTGGCTGGAAAGTTCGGATTTGAAAGCAAAACAATAACCTGCCGCCTGCCGGCTAAATCCACCTAACTCTCAGCTCTAGTGGCCAAGAGCTCCGCCTGATTCAGAAACCGCACATCGACGCCTCTTCCGAGAACTGCCCTGCGACGTTGGACCCCAAGCGCACCACGAGCACGTACTCAGTCGATACTTCCTTCAGAGCAGCGGTCAGTGCCAGGCCGTACCTCAAGAGAAGTTCCACTAGGTTTAGGGTTTAGGCTGGTTTAGGACTTCAGGTTTAGGGTTGTTGTTTGTTGAGGCCCCTTTTCCATCCGCAGTGGTAGGTTTCGGGTTTAGGGCTCAGGGAAGTTTAGCGCTTTACGGCTAAGGGCTCATGGCTTCATCATGAAGATCCCCACGTAGTGTTCTTGGCGTCGTACAGCCGACGCATTGCAAGTCCCTTTGGCTGGTAAGGACACGTGCAACCCAGTACCTGCAAGAATGTCACCTGGCTACTGAACGTGCCGTCCAGCAGCGACCTTGTGACAGTCACACCAAAACCTTACCACCTCGTGTTCTCCACTCGGTCAAGCTGGTTCGCAGAGCGATTACAAACACAGACGCCAACCGCTGATAAAGACGATTTAATGCTATTTAATGAAGAGCTCAGATCATGTATCCGGAGGACCTGGAAGCCGCGTGCTTGACATGGACACACGCGGGAAGCAGCTCGATGGTAGCCGGGGCTGACTTTGGACTTGCTCCGGGTCTGATCAGTCTGAAGCAACCACAAGATATTGGCATAAAGCCCAACCCCCAAAACTCTCAATCTTCGGAAGGCGCACCCATGGCAGCTCCCAAGCCTGCACTCATTTGCGACATTTTGCGACTGTGTAGCTGCCACCACTGCACTTAACTCTATTTCTTACATTACCGAACCTAGTATCACTGCCAGCAGTAGTATAGTCGTCGTCGCCGCTGCAGCAGTAAAGGTGATGATACACACACACACACACCTGTGCATTGTACTAGCCAGAGCACTGATCTTGCATGACCTGTCGCATATCACTGCTGCTCATACCCCAACTTAGCCAATCCGACGCAGACCAACGCCACACAACTCCACGTTCAACCGACGAGCAAACGACGACGAACAGCAACGCATGCTAGCATCATCAACAACAACAGTAACAAGGGCAGGTGATAGCAAAAGCAAAACTGTTCATAGCCGGAACCTCAGTATCCTGCACGGCCCCAGCTCCCCCTGAAGGCACAGCTCCTGGCACGGGGAAGTCAGTGAACACAATCGTTCGATGCAGGTTCAGGCCCGTTTTATGCCCATCCCACGCCTCTCCCCATGCAAGTACCCTGCATGCCCCCTCCGATGTGACACAACGATCCAAGTCGGCAAAAGTCGCACCGTCCTCGGCAGCAGCGAGAAAGCCCTCGTAGGCCTGAAGCCAGAAGCCGACGTAAGCTTTGTACAACAATTCAACAATTTGAGCGCGCCGCATATACACACACATATTAATTATATATATATATATACATTGACGCACGCACACACACACACTCACACTCACACGCACACAAGAGATAACTCCTACGAGGAGTGAGTTTGCATGCCGCTTGGTCAGCCAGCAGACAATCAGACACGAAAAAGCTCCCACACTCACCCTGCACGACAGTAAGCAGGGTGGTGCATCACCGCCTCTTCCGAGCACAGCTGCTTCCTTCCCTCCGGGTGTGTGAACCCATCGCAGACCTCGAAGAAATTGCAAAAAAAATCATAATTTCATAACGTGTATACGTTTGTCAGGTGCCCTCTTCAAGATCAGGAGCTGGCCAACAGTCTCTGGCATCGCTCCAACTGAAGCAGATGCTTCTGGAAGGAAGAGAAGAGAGTCCTGCAAAGATGTGTCGCTTCTCTCTGGTCTCTGTTACCATGGGATTTGTGATCGGGTCTGCGGGTCATGTGAGCACAACATGAGACCTTTGCCCGTCTCTATCCTCGAACTTGCCCAATGTCGAACCGGCACAAGCATCCCAAGCGCCAACGTCCTCAACAGCACCGGTGAGGGGTGAGACGGAATCGGAGAGGTCGTCACCACGATGGTGAGGCGATCGCTCGGCGGCGCACCTGTCATTTTCAAACTCGCTTTGCTTCTGTGGCTCAGACGGGATCAAGCCCCAGACCGAAGCAAGCCCACACCCACCCCGCTCCGCCGCAGACGCGGTCGAACTGCCGAGTCAGTACTCAAGGCAGTTTCACCTGCCGTCACCTGTGTCTCGTCTAGCGGCCCAGATCCGCAGCTCCCAAAAGGCAAAGGGATGCAAAGGGGCCCACACATTTTTTTGGTATCACCAAGCGACCTCAGAGTTTGTCGCAGGGCTCTCGGAGCTCCTGCACAGGCCAGCGGCCAGCGGCTTAGGCTGGCGCCAACTCAACGTCCAACAGACCCGATGAGCGACCACCATCCACCGCTTCGCTAGCAACCGCTCTCTGAGTCTCCCGGACCCTCGTGACACTCTACATCAATCATATGAGGTGGCCTTAAAAAAGCTACTGAAGCTACTGCGGTCCCCGGGTCGCGAGATGGCCTTGAGGCTCCGGTGCGCGTGAAGCGACCGAAAAGCGGAGGTCTTCACTCTCCCGGTCCTACTCACGACCAGTGCACCGGAAAAGCAGCTCTCTGCGAAAGTTACAGAAGCGGAAAGAATGAAAGTGTAAACAGTCATGGGAAGTTTGGGCAAAAGTACGGTCGTCACATCGAGTGACTGCTCGGCGCGAATTGACAGAGCTTGTGTTCCAGCGTGCACACCTGCAAACGAAGCGCAAACGAGCACCGGTCATATGAGCTCATATTGAAGAAGAATACTTCACGAATACTGACAGCGCATGCATGATAAGTTGCGAGAACAAACCTCAGGGGATGAACAGAATAACTGAGCAGGAGCCAGCAGAATACACGACCACGATGGATTGCATGAGGTGCTCTCGAGGATATATCGTTCGGATGCTCGCTTTCTAAATGCCACTTTAGAATCCAATCATTGACGGCGAGTCTGAAGAACGAACTGTGCGGAACTGGTGACATTCGTCGTTTAAACAGGGCCAAGGCCGTCACTCGATGTGGATCTGAAGGGGATGTTGATTCATTCTGACACTATACATTCACGGGCCAGAAGGCGTTGCGACCAGAGCGCAAGACGCCGCTTTTGATCTTCAAACTTCACAGTCACCTGCAGCCAAGGGTCCAGAAGCCCTGGCATGCGGCACTGCTGCGCGGGGCACATCCAGGAATCCACGAGTAAACAATATCATAATGTGGTCTTTATGGCTTCCCTTGGTTGTATTCATGTTGCGACCTTGCCTCTGCTCACCCTACAGTATCGTCATGACAACTAGCCGTAATTATCATGGACAGGGTTAGAGGCATGTACCCGAACAGCAACTCACATTTGGCGCAGGTTAACTACGATAGTACCATGACCCTGATCTCCTGAGTAACTCCCGAAGGCTCTCATAACTCTCCTTGCGGGTTCACTCCAGCAGCTCAGGTGCTGGCACTGAGACTCAACTGTACGTCGCCCGAGCTGATATTGGTGGTCCATGACGACTGCTTGTCAACATGTCCAACCTGCTTAGCTTCCCGTGCCGCACTTGAGCTTGTAAAGTTTAGAGTAGCTATGTTCTAGAGTAGCTCAATGGATCTCGCATCCTTATTGGCCACCATACGCAAGGGCGAAGCGCCATCCATCGAAGTGTGCAGAGGGGACACGCAAGAGTCTGGCGCGCCCAAAACGAATGCAAAATTCATGAGAATCCGTTGGTTCCAGAGCCGGCGCATGGCGGCTGGTGCAGCCTTGAAAACTCTTGCTCACCCTCCACCTCGAACTTTCAAAGGATGGTCCGTCGGGTCAATAGGCCTTGCGCAGCCTGTGTTCTGCAATCTTGGCAGTGCCAGGAAGCCGCTAGCAGCTCCAGGAATGTCAAAGACGGGCGCATTCTCCAAACGCGCGAGCAACCACCAACACTACAAACCATAGCTGAAGGCTGGAACACTTACCACATGAGTGGGCAAGGATTCTCAGACCTGGTCAAGACACATGCACCAGGCAATGCCGAAGTTGCACCCTTGCAACCTCCTAACCGGAAGCAGCGAATGCGAAGTGCCATGCAGAATGCATGCATTGAAACACTGTGACAGAGCTGGCATTGCCTTGAATGTAACCATTAAATAGCCTCCCAGAGATCGTGTCTTCAGGGAGTTCTGTACAAATGCGCGTGTGTTCCGGGCTCGGACCACTTGCAAAATGTGCGTGGGCAGCACCTCAACCAACGCCACTTTTTTGCCAAGGGAATCTCTGCAAACGCCAGAGACCAGGTGTGCAGTTCCCTCTTTCGGGGCAAGGCCTTGTAGAGACCTCTCAGTGGGCTACGCCAAGGTGAAAGCTCCACTATCACCAGAACAAGGAATGAAATTTGTCAGCCTCCGGCCGTAACAAGAACAACACATGGACATAGCTTTCAATATTTGTAATACTTTGCATGTTGCATCTTATACCATCCTCTGCTTTCGGCTCCGCCGAGTGCCTGTTGCATTTTGTGCATGGATTTGACACACGCACTTCCGGATTCCACCAACGCGTTGGTGCTTCATGACTCCATGTGGCGAGTCAGGCGCCTGCAGCACACGAGGGGGTGTAACTCCTGCTCTAAGCAGAGACCTCCCGAACCAGGTGCGTCCAGGACACCTCACAAGTGGATGACCTTCGTCACGCCTGCGTTGCGGCTCCAGCGGCAAAGGTGGCAATTCGGGCACGAGGTGCCGTCCTTGCAGCCTGCCGACAGACTTTCTTTTACGCTTGCATTTAGGCAGGCTAGCGGAAGTTATCGGGTTTGGTAAGGGGGATGGATCTGCAGGAACGGGATGCAGCTGCAACGACGGACTTTTTAAGAATGTGCGCAGTGCTAGCTGGCTTGGAACTGCATTCGCCTGCGCATTTTTGCAAGACCACGCGGCACACTTAAAATTGTGAATTCTTGTCTCCGGCTTGCTTCCCCAATGGCCTTTTGCTTTGCCGACGTACTTGCAGGCCTGGGCACAGCCTTGGACCATCAGGCAAGCCCATCGAAATAACAAGTTCACCGCGCTAGCCACAGCTCCAGGTAAGGGCCCTTAATTACAGCACCGATGCAAAATGACATCAAGAACCCAAAACTCTAAAACCCTAAACCCGAAGCCAAGCGGCTGTAGGGATGGCCCAGGGATCCCACGGAAGAAAGGAGGCCCGGCGCCCTTAGAGGCGCTGACTATAAGACGGTCTTGTTGTTAGTCTTTTCAGGGTTTGAAAAAGAGTGCAGATCCTTGTAAGAGCACGTGCGACGGGGGCACGTGCGTGTGCATATATCCAGATATGTAAGCTAAAGGATGTTGGGAACGAGGGAGTTTTGAAACAAGCAGAAACTAGGAATTCCAGCATCAGCAACCGAACTTTCAGCAGGGATGGTCGCCGTGAGAGTGGCAACGGCAATGACGACAACAACAAGAACTGCACAAACACTGCTAGCAACAGTCAACGGCCTGCAAACAAAAACTACAAAAATTACAGTTCTACAACAGTATACAAAGTGTTGTGGCAAGGAAAATGATAGCAATAGACGCAGTAATGACAACAAGACCAATTACAATGACTACTAAATCAACAGCCATGGCCATGCATGTGGCAACAAGACAACAAGAGTAGTAGACAACAACAGACACAACAGTCGGTACTATGTACTATGCCGGTGCCACCATTGTTCCTGTTACTACGAGTAGTCCTGCTAGTAACCGCATCGTGCTCCATCACCATCACCCACCATCATAGTTCACCTCCTCATCATCCCCGTCACGATCGTCAAACGGCCTGGTCATGCTTAGATGGGTGGGTGTTTCATGAAGGTGCCAAGGTCATCTTCTCACACCATCTGTTTGCATGGGTCGTGGGAACTGTGTACAGTACTCACCCAACGGCTATGCCGTATCCCCGGATTGGCGCGAATAAACGGCCGTCCGGTGCCATGATGTTCAGGACTTTGCGAGTGGATGGAAGTAATCACCGAGACGCCCATGAAATTCTGTATGGGCTTGCTGTTCTTATGAACTGATTCGCTGTTCTGCGGACATCTCCGCGCAAACCTAGTGAAGGTGGTAAGAATCCGGGGGTGCAGTTTGTCGGGTTCAAGTCCAGCGGAAAATGGTCCTTGAGGAAGCCCGCGCGTGCGTCGTGCCGTCTAGGCCAGGTCAAAATTTCAAGCCGGCAAGGCTACCGTTCTGGTCCAGCCATTCGAGCAACCCCTCGCAGCCATAGCAGCACTTTGAGTTCCAACGACAGACCTCACTGAAAACCTTTCATGATGTGATCTCGGGGAGGCTTTGCCCAAAGAATGCCAACCCCCCCACATCGCAGCAGCCGAGCGCCACCTGCGACCACCGACAGCGAACCCGCTCGAAGCCCGCCAGCTTTATCCGGCTGTGGCTGTGGGTGCGCTGGGGCTGTCGCGACAAGCACGCAGAAACAGCCCTCAGAGCAACCTCAAATAATGCAGTGTGACAAAAGGAAGCGGCAGAACGGTCCAAAAGCGCCGTGCACGATGCCAGCTGTCATCATGCGAAGTTGAGACAGCTTCAGAGCTTCAGGGGTTTCCTTGAAAGTCTGAAGAATCCTAGGGTCCTCTAGAAATTCAGCCGAGCTTCTGGAGCTCTGTGTCCGGCAAGGCGGAAGGCAGCTCAAGCCCCGGTGGAGGAGGAATGCCCTCGAAGAGCGCCACAGAGCTTTGCGAAGTCTTCGAGGTCTGGGTCGATTCCTCCTTCTCCTCCTCTTCCTCTTCCTCATCCTTGGGCTTCCGCTGCCACTTGCAATAATGGCAGTTGGGGCAGTTCGCACCATCTCGGCAGCCTCGCTTTCGCCAGACGTACTTGCAGGCTTTGGCACAGGTGTACGGATGTCCCACAGAGCCGCAGGAGAAAGGCTGAGTCTCCACTGGCCTTAGACGTGAGATCCGAAGAAGGCTAACGACAGGCTACGAGTAGCAGCCACATAGGCTTCAGGGTGGGGCATTCACGATCTTGCCTTCCAAGCGGCACGGTCTCCACGCTTTCAACCGGCTTCGGCTCTTCCTCCTTCTCTCCTCCTGAACACAACACAAGTCCAAATGCGATGAAGCCAGCCTAGTTGAAATCAGAGCTGCAGACAACTTTCTGGCAATCCCCGAACCGCATTTATGAGTAGGCACTATCGTGTTGAAAGATGCACTATGTAACTTTTATTTGACTTCGCGGCTGATCCTTAGGCCAGCATTGGGTCCTGCAGGCACACGGCTCCAAAAGCATTCGTGGCACTTGGTGCACTGGGAGCCATCGCGGCAGCCACCTCCGGAGCTCTGAATCTCTCGGAGACGAGTGCGCGGCTGGCCTGGTCTTAAAGAAAAAAGCGAAGCTGGGCCCCCCCGCCTTTGCGCTTCACGTACTTGCAGGCTTCGGCGCACGTGAAGGGATGGCCCACCTAGGAAGGCGGTTTCGAAGAGACATGGATTCAGCTCTTTTCGCCCCGTGCTCCAGAGATCCCAAACGTCCCAGAGCCAAGACACCGAGCCGATGGACACGATGCGTCCCGAGGAGCCCGTGGGGGCAGCTGCCGGCGTTTTGGACTCCTGGCGTAAGTAACCCACTATAGGTCTGGGAGTCTGGAGGCTTGGTGTTCGTGGCTGGGGATAGGTATGGATGGATTCCTGTGAGGAAGGCTGCAATCATCCAAGTGCAGGTCGTACGGTAAGTTGACAAACCAAGAGCTCCCACCACCCAACTAATTAGGCCACAGTGCCAATGCCACGGGAACCGTTGCACCCATCCCCTGCTTCCTCAGTCCTTCTGGGGCCTTGGCACGGCATGAGGTGCTGGAGGCGGCGGAAGGCCTGCCCACGAGTGCGCGTCGCTTCCAGTCGTTCTTGCACGATGTCGGGGACCCCACAACATTTTTTGAAAGCTGGAAAGGTGGGGTTTGTCACCACATGTCCATTTTGTCCTTGAAACTACTCCGCTCTAGCGAATACTCAAGCAGAAAGAACACCAAATGTCCACATGCTACTCTTCTGGTCGTGGGAGGTTTGGGGTGTTACCCAGAATTAAGGTGACAGGGGCTCTTCAGCAATTACAACGCGCGTATCGACCGTATCGACGCATCTGCACAGACACTCAACCATCCTGAATTTGCGACAAGTCATTTTCTCAGCTTCCTTGACACAGACGGGTCGGGGCACTTCACATGCACCATCCATAGGCCTGCCATGGCCTGCCTACACTAGCCCAGCGGACAAGAATCGCGAATAACTGGATCTACCGAAATGCTCTTGAGGCCTGAGCTTCCTAAGTGAAAAACGACCCACCACAGCCTGCATCGCCCTGGGCAGGTGGAACCTGGCAGAGAGTGAGCGCCACAACGAGACAAGAAAGATGATACTTCTTCAACTCCCCTTCATCCCTGACTCTGACGCCGAAGCTTCGCAGCATCCAGCCCGCCTGGACTTCGTGCACAAGGCCCGGTGGAAGCTGGATCACTCCTGCAACGCAGAGACTGCACGGGGTTTTGGTACAAAATACTGGGGCTGTGCAAGGCCGCTGCCACCTGTCACTGCTCGGGTATGCTCGGGTTGGCAAAGCCGCTGCAGAAAGTGCGCAGCTCTACACTTGACAGAAGGAGCTATGACGCTGCCGCAAGTAGAGTCATCAGCACATCCCGGCTCCTGACTCAAACATCGACGCGAACATCGGCGGCTCCTCCACCTGGACCGGGCATGCACATGTTGGCCCTGAGCCCGAAAATGCTTTGTGTGTGCCTGCGAAGTTGAGCGGAAGAGGGAGGCAGAGACAGAGAGAGAGAGCGGGAGAGGGAGATGAAAAGAGATAGCAAGGACAAGCTATCAAAGAGACGGGGAGCAAGGACAGACTCCTCCGGCGTGGAGAGGCAGCATGTGAAAGTTATCATGCCGCTTCTCTGTCCAAAGAAGCTATGTCAGCTATGTAGCAAGCTTACATATCGACTTGAGCAGTGGTAGTTGTTCTTTCGAGCCACGGCGAAAAAAATGACTACGACTGGTGGTGCAAGCGCACTCGTCCAGGCCGGTCAAGACCACTTGCTGCGAGCAAGTCGAACTCCAGAAAAAAACGATAAAATATGCTTAACTTTACTAACTAATTACGGGCCCCAGTCCCTCGCATGCATCTCATATATCGATTAACTTATGCAGCACATGCGCTTGACAGAGCCAGCAGACTGGCTTTTCAGTGATGCCCAGCTCCTGCCTGAGCATAGGAGAACGGTGTCGTGATGGGCTGCACGTAGAGCGGTGATGCCGCCAACTGAGCCACGGAGCACCGTAAACAAGGCTGGCTTATATAGGGTCCTCTGAGTACATCCTGTCACCCTGATCCTTCAGCGGCTGCAGAGGTCATGAACTCCATGGAAACACCAATGCCTTGTCCTCATTCACTTTGCCCTGCAGCTTGCTGCCCTCGGCCTCCGAAATGGGGCGAAGACTCCAAGCCCCCCGGCCAGAAAGAAAAAAACACCCAAATGCGCCTCACTAACCGACACCCCGACCGATCGACGACGAGCAACATCTCCGGCCAGCTAACCAGAAAACAGAAAACCTGCCGGCCCATCATCGGTTTTAAGACCCGCTGGGACAATCTGAACTACGATGCCAAGGCCTGCAGCTGCATGAGCTTCTCGCGGAGGTTTGCCATGTCCGCAAACAGGGCATGGTCGGTTGGAGTCTTGGAACCTGGGCGCACGGCAATGCTGTGATACTAACCTGAGTTGAGCTGCCGGGAGAAACCTGCTCCTCCCTTTAACCAGACCACCATTCATCATCATCCTTGCGCTCTTAAGACTTGCCGTGGAGCCATCGGTCTGAGTCATGTCGAAGGCATATGGGTACAAGCCGTCGAGCATTGCTGGCGGGTTTGGTGTCCGGCATCCGGAAGGCAGGGTGTACCTGAACTTGTGCGGCTCCTATGCGAGCCTCCGGGAGTTTGAGAGAACGTTGGACCTTCCTCTAGACGCCAAGAAGTAAGGACACCCACTCACCACTGTTCGGGTAACACCCACATCGGCGACATCAGGCCAGGACGCTGGACCCCCCCTTGCACAATGAACGACATGGCAGGCACCGAGGTAGCGAAAACAAGGGTCGCTTAGGGCAGTCTTGCCTTGAGCCTTGAGCTGTGGTGGAATTCTGCAGAAACGCATCTAGCAGCTGGCACACGACACAACCTGCTCTGCAAAGGCATGCCGCTCCCCAACGTGCATTATGCACTCACCTGCCCTTCCATGACTCGTAACAACAGGTGAAAGCATCGGCCTGCTTCGCCGTAGGCCATGCCAACTGCATCGACAATCGCTGGAGCATGCAGATCGCTGGTTCATGGCAGGATTCGACGGCGGCGAAGCATTTCTATGTCGGTAGGAGCTGAACAGGGTACTTATGGTTTGGTTCATGGCAACTGTATGCACTTGACGGACGGTCGCACAGGGTGGAGATCTTCCTACACATTCCGCCTTGTCCAAACGTGTCGTGTACTTTTGAGATCTGTGAGACAACTTGACGCCAGCTCCAATGGGATATTTGTACTTCAGCAAGCGAGGCTAAAAGCAAATCTGGGAAGCCAAAGCCCACGACACTCGTGATCTTCGAGGACAAGTGGCATGAAAAAATGTGCTTCCTTCGACTACTACGGCTCAGGGTCTGTCCAACCATGCGCTCAAGCCGCTTCCTGCAAAATCACGAACAGTGTCTGCCGCACCGCTATTATCTCAGCCTCTGGCTGCGTCGCGTCTGTAAGCGTTTGCTCACTTTGTGAGGTCGTCGCTAACAGTCTCGTTCATCGCTAGAGTCCGCTAGAGTGGCGCATTTGCCCAGCAGAGTCGTATAGAGATGCACTTTGCTGCATTTTCTGCATTGATAGACCGGTTGCTTAGGCTCCGACCACAATATTGCTCTACTCTGACATATTCTAACCAATTTAGTACGCAATATCACCATAGTATCATGCCAATATACCATCTTGCTATAATCTCAGTGCCAAATATTTACATAAAGCCGTGTTATTACAACATGAGACGACGCCGATTAGGGTGCCAGGCGAAAGCTGGCTCGCCTACCGATGCCAGCCGCCCGCGAGTGGATGTCCTCCTGTCGCTTGCACAAGTGCCCTATTATTATTTCTAATAAAATCATGACTATTATTACTACAACTCTGAGTTCTAAGATTTTGACTACTATTGCAAATGACTATCACTACGAGTATTTTATTACTATTCTTCAGAGGCAGATCAAGTTGCACAAAGGCTGACATTTGCATCAAGGGTTGGTCGTTTCTAGATCTTGGCTGAGTGTTCATTCCAGGCATGTAAAGTCGAGCGCCCAGGCCTGACGTCGGGCTTGCTGAACCGCAATAACCGCCGAGAAAGCTAGTTCCAGATGCACGCGTGATGAAGCAGAAGCTACAGCAGATCCGCATACCTCGCCCCATCGAAATGCCCGAAACTCAGCACATCCCGGGGCACCGATGCAACCTCTGCTACATCAAGCAGCAGCACAATGGCCTCGAGGAAGATCTGACAAATAGGCCCGGAGACCCCGCACCCGAAACTGCGACCAAAAATCCTCAACCCAAAGATATCCAGAACCCCCCCCCCCCAACAGCTTTAACCCCAAACCCCAAACCCCAACCCGTGTACTGTAAACCCTCTGAACCTTAGAACACAGGAACCCGCGTAGGAAGCCGGAAAAGGCTGTTTGGAGCCGAAGCTTCTCCCGAGCCACCTTCGACGTGTCCTTTGCCTGTGGCGAGGCATGGCCTTCAGTGAAAGCCTTCCTGGCCGGCGACTTGGAATGGGACTTATCGGGTTTAGGGCTAAAGCTGTGGGACACTGCTACGCAGAACAATGCTTCACACTGTCAGCTGGAAGCCGATTTAAAAGGCACCTCTGCCAGCATGGGGCTGTGAACAGTGCCAGTGACTTCTAGTCTACTGCCAAGCTCTCCCCAGAAGCCGGCTCCTCATCCTCATGGCGTCGACTTCATCGTGGAGCCTCAGAACTCGCAGCTCCCCGCTCCACATGCACACGACATGAAGTCCTGCGTACAGCAAGACTCAAGAGTGGCCTGTCACCAATCACACTTCTGCCGAGCTGCGACAACCTAAGCCTAAACATACCTCATGTGTTTTCAAACGCAAAGGGAGAGAGAGCAAGAGAGCGGAGTGAGCGGGATGCTCTGCCCTGCTTGCCTGTGTGCATGAACTCTTCCCTCTTGCGCTGTATCCCATGAACCCGAGTCCCCTTAAAGCCCCAAAGAACCCCGGAAAAAACCTAAAAGCTTTGGACCCCCAAGCCGAGGCAAAAGCACGGAGCGGTTTCGTCCCTTCGCAAACTCGGACTGGTACTCCAGCAAACACCTGGCCCAGGCCAGGGGACGGGCTCTCGTCGGAGCGTAAGGAAGCAAAGGAGACAGGGCTCTAGAGGGCTTAAGGAAGCAGTAGGAGACTACTGGTTTGGGGCTCTGGGGTTTAGGAGACGAGTGGTGTTGGAATTAGGCATGTACCGCAATGACCCTTCTCGCCGGGCAATCAGCTCTGATCACGATCATCGCCATCATCATCGTCACCGTCATCGCCACGGTCATCGTCGTCATCACCGCAGCGTCATATGGGCTCCGGTATGATTGCGCCCGGCAGCCGCTCGGACCCTGACAGCCTGAGCGTTTGATGGCGGGAGATGAGCCCTTTCCTGACTTCAGGTGCGACACCTGCACACTCATTACTGTTTTGAACCCTCACATGATCTGGTACAGTACGGTATTGCATGGCGCAGTACGCCATGTTCTCTGTTACACTACCAGGGCCTGACTCAGGCACATGGTCGATGTCTAAGGCTTGGAGTTGACATGGAGTTGATTGCGAACCGCCGGGCGAAGTGCTCAAAAAGAATCGAGCGATAGCGATGGGGCAGCAAGCCCGACTGTCGAAAGCTACACAGCCCACAGTCCCTTCGACCATCTTTACTATGCTGTGACTACTATATTCATCCAACGTGGCTACTCGTCTTGTTTCTGTTGAAGCCTTCTGTTTTTTACACACGACTGCAGCAACGAGATCCCAAATGTCGCAGGAGTGGCTCCGCTTCGCGGAAGAACTCTAGGAACTCATCCCACTCGGTGCTTCCACTGTTGTCCTGCATGCGGAGCTTGGTAGAACGCACGGCAACAGTCACGCTGCAAGGTTTGTCAAATGGCACATAGTGCAGGCAATCGCAAGACTTGAGCGTTGCCGACTGGAGGGGACCCTGCGGGCGTGGATTTGCGGGTTGACGCTACTGGTATTCCTCCTTGTTTGCTACGAATTCTGCTACCAGCATGGCTACGGCGTCTGCGAGACATGGAGGGCACTTGGAAAGCACTGGTCTTCTACGACTTGCCTACCAGAAGGCAACCCGCATCTCAAGATGACAGCGCGGAACTTGGAGCTTTTGTAGAGGCGACTTCAACGAGTCTCTCAGATTGCACCCACCTCCTTGCAACTGTGCCTTTTGCAGCAGGGTTCTTTGGGCAGTCCTTGTCAGCTTCCTTCAAGATCTTCAAGATCTTCTGAACAAGGGCCTGCTCGCATGAAAAGACAGGGACAGCGAGTTGGGCGGTTCGATCCACCGTGGAGGCTGGCAGTCTGGCAGTTGACACTTTGTCGTGCCTTTCGTACAGCTCTTCGATGCGCTGTCTCATCCTTCATCTCGGGCAGGTGCAAGCCTGCTGTGAACCTCATCACTCACCACTTGAAGCGCGGAGCCCTCCCCGCAAGGCCAGGAAGGACTCTTGGACTCAGGGACCGTACGACCCTATACGACTCGTCGAAGACAGAGATCCCTTGGTCCCTGACCTCTGGAGGACCCCGGAGAGCTCCTTCGATATAGAAAGGTAAATTTCAGGCAGCAACTCTTGCGCACTGAAAACTGCGAGCCTTGTCAGTGAAGATGGCAGCCAGGAACTTCCGATGCGGGATGGAGGAAGGCCTCACAGAATGAAAGGCAGAACTCGTACATTCTAAGATGTATTCGCTGAGAGCCATACTCTGCCAAACGTTGGAACACCGCCTGCAAAGTCTCGACGCTGTGCTTGGGTTCCTGAGCTAATCGCTCGAAACGCGACTTACCCAGTGGTGTGCAGATCCAATGACATGCCATAGCACTGGCCAAGACAATCCTTGTATCTGACCATGACGTTTCTTATGCTCCCTAATGTGCATATTCATGCTTTTCATATCTAGCATTAGACTTTTCACTCGGAACCTTGTTCTTCTTCCCACTTTTGCTGATCGCCCGGTGCCGAGGTCGCTGCCCCTGGCGCCGCTTCGCTCTCCGCTTTCCTGTGATCAGACCAATGTCTGGAGACCCGTTTTTTTCAACACCGATGGCTGTGTCTCCTGAGTACCTGACGGTCCCGGTAGAGGGGCGCCCGTCAACTCAAAGCAGTATTTCTTGTGCCTAAGTCATTGAATAGTGCTTGCAAGTCGCGCGTGAAACTCTGAAACGACATCCTCGTATCCGAAGAAGAGAAGGACGAGCAGAGCAAGTCAATAGATCGTAGAACTTGCCGCTTCTCCAAGACTCCAAGCTGTTCTGTATCCTCGCCGCTGCCCTTCCTGTCTGGCCTCCCTTGGTTTCTTGCAGCTATCACACCCCCTGCCCGGGCTTCGGGGACTAACGGCACCTCCAAGCCTCGGGACTCGAGAGATCCAACGACTGGTTTGCTGCCCGGCTGCTGAGGACTCTTCGGCCTCACTCTCACCGAACTCTCTCCAAGAGCACAGAGGGTTGGAGGAATCTTTGAGACTTGCAGGTGTTTCGGTCGGGCTTGGCGCTATGGGGCTTCGTGGACAAGCCTCTACCCCTACCTCCAGGGCTCGGACTTTGCTGTAGCGGAAAGGACTGAATCATACAAGCCCCCAGGAAATCTGCATGAAAATCGAAACATCTGGCCAAATCAATCCAAGGAGCAGCGGCACCTTTGGCCGATGCGCTGAGCAGGACCTGTGGCGAGGTCATTGGGTAGGGCTGACGATGCCTAGAAGTCTGCGTTGGGACACTGAGCGTGCAGGTTGTAGCGTGCAGGTTTTGTAGTTGGTGTATTTTGTCGTCTCTTTTGCATCTGTGATTATCACAGGTACTCACTCCCACAGATTGTTACTGGGGCGGTTCTGAATACGAGGTCCGCAGTGTAGATCACATGTCGTCCGAGGACTCAGCTACCGAGCGTGCATCTGCAAAGAACGAGTTTCTGGACTACAGGTAAATTCAGAACTCAGGTTTCGCGGCTGCTCACGTCTCG